TGAGAGGCGGGCGAGGGCCGGGGGCGGCGGAGAGGTCGGGGTCGCTGTGAGGGAGCTGAGGGAGGGCTCTCCCCGCCTCGCTCTGCGCGCCCAGATGCCGCGCCGGGGCTGCCGAGCTGGGCGTTAGAGCCGGTTTTTCTCTGTCCTGGCAGACGGAAACTGCCTCCTTCCCACCTGGGGTCCCGCAGCCCCTCCGTGGCGGGGTGCGGGGTCGGTCAGGAGCCGTGCAGCGCCGGGCGCTGCATTGCGGCCGGCTGGAGAGTTCCTGCCGGGAAAGGTGCAGGTAACGCGCCGGCGGGTTTCTGGTGTATCTCGCAGCAGAGGAGGTTCGATAATGCGCTGCCCTTGTACGTTCAGATAACTTTATCTTTGCACTAAAGCGTCTTCGCAGCCTGGCCGGTAGCGCTGCAGACGCTGTCGCGTTTTCGGGGCAGCATTTAAACCCCGCTCGGGTTCGTATTAATGGCATGCGTGGCTGTAATGTATTTATAGGATAAATCCTTCTGCCCCTCAAACGGCAGCGCTCTATGAGACGAGAGATCTGGGAATTGCACGAGTGACACCAGGCATCGCCCCGTTCTTCGTGTGCGAGAGCACCGGCCTCGCTCGCCCTCCACGCTGACGGCGGTGTTGGTCGTCACCGGTGCGTGTGCTGGAGAAAGCCTCAAGCGCCTGTTGGCTCTCCCGCCTCATCTCCAAAGTGCAGGCGTATCCAGGCAAGACTCAGTATGTGCTGCGGGAATCCTCTGTGTCTGGCTGCTAGAAATGAAGTAACTGCATAAACCTACTGGGATGGTAAAGAATTCAAGTGGTTACATTGAGTTAAAAGGTCAATGACCGTTGATTGAGGTGAACTCTCGTTATAGAAGTCGGGCAGGAAGCAATTCTGTAACCATAAAAACCATTTCATAGCAAAATAAAGGGAATGTAAAAGTGAAATCAAAGGTAAATGTGGATAGAGCTTTGGAAGTGGTAGACCAATGCACCGTTTTATTGATAATGAAGATACTTTATTAGGTTAACTTCATTTTAGTTCCAAAACAGTACCTCACATAGAGACTCATAATTAGCTTTGATAGCAGTTTAAAAAAAATGGCACAACCTTTAAAATAATGCTGGTACATCGACTTTATATATTAATGATTTATGATAAAAATATTTAAGATCAAATGTAAGTTTTAACCTTTATAATTAAAGATAATTGCTTTAATGAGATTTTCTGTAATTGTAACATTATATCTAATGCCAATTATCATACGATTTAAAAACCCTCTGGAGAAAATCTTAGAAACCTTAGTGAGCACTGCACATCTCATTTTCCATGCATTGGGCTTCAGTTTGTACCCTCTGTGCCTAATTTGTTGTTTTCTTTAATTGATGTTGTTGAATGAAATTTCTCCTTTTTTGGTCATTTGATACCCTGATAGAGATTGGTTGCCTAGCTATCACCTCTCTGGGGGATGTTGTTAAAAAAGATCTTCATGTTGTCAGGTTAAAGAGCAGATAAGTACATTCTACACCAGCATGCTGATTGATTTGCATCTTCATACCTTTTAGGTATGCAATTGTATTGTGGTATGGTAGAAAGTTGGTTTGAGCAACTATGTAAGAGTCTATATTGCCAGTTTCATTGGTTCTTTTTGATATTCCACTATTTTAATTACTGAAATAGCAATTTTTAAAAGTTTCCCTGCAGGTGGAATGCCTCCTGTTCATCAAGTGGCTCAACAGATTAGCCAAGAGCAAAACCAACAGCAAAATGGACCAAACTTGTCAAGTTTGCATAGTTCCTTACCTGCTCCACACAGCAGGAGCCCAGCTTTTCTTCAGCAGGTACAACCAGCAGGCTATGATAAGAAGCATGGGATTTTGGTCCCAACTCCAGTTCCTGTACAACAACAGGTATCAGATTTGCATATTATATTGTATGCGGCTTTGAATGGCTGGTTTTCTGTGTATTGTAATTGCTGTTGTCGTCTATTCTGCACCGTTAAATAGTCTGCCTGAATACAAGGAAGTGAGTATCCTCAGAAACAGCGCAGTAACATCTGTCTCATTAAGAAAGTCTAGACAAGATTAATTTTTGGCGCTTTACTGCTACTTTCCCTTGAAACTTTACTTCTGTGAAGAAAATATCTGTTCATTTATGTCATTTGCGATGTCTACCCAACTCTCAGTTTAAATATTCTTGTGCTGGATTGTCATTGAATCAAATTCATTTCATGCTTCCAAGTAAATTTCAGACATGTGGAATGTTGCAGGTAAGTCAGTTACAAGGTGCAGCAAGAGGGAACAGTGTGCTAACCTCTCACTGTGTCCTGGCAGCATTTTCCTTTGTGCATTGACAGAATTTATTACTCCAACCTGGGGAGAAAGGAGCAAATAACTTCAGTAGTTTTTGCAAAAGACTTTGTCAAGCACTAATGATTTGCTTCAGATAGCTGTTGTATAGCACAGCTGGGTATAAAACTTTCCTTAAAATAATATGTTGTGTTCATTTAAGTTTAGAATGCTCTGTAGATAGCTGTATCTCTCTTTTGGTTTTAACTAGTGGTGCAGACACGCCATATGATTTTTCTTGAAGAAGGAAGAGGAATGAGAAGGGCTCAGGCAGATTGACTAAGGAAGTGGAATTTGTTCTTGTAATGAAATCCTAGAAGGAGATTTAATTAATCTGAATCAATTATTTTAACTTTTCTTGCAGCATATTTAGAATAAGAGGGGAGGAATCACATTGAAAATTTGTGCTGCTTGTGGTTACTTGCCAGCAGTTGCAGGATGCTTACATGTGTTAATAAAAATGCCATAACTAAATGTATTTTTCTATGAACTTCTTAGAAAATTCTGTCCATCTGCCATCTGGCAGAACATTTCAATTCTGTGAAAATTCTCACTGAATCAGCCCTGCTCTTCTGATGAGATCTAGAGGTACTATATTTTAGGAGAAAAAAATAAAGTTCTCAAGACTGAGTGCCACTGCATCCCAAACTTCTCTACTGATTTTACATAATACTGCTGCATCACAAAGTCCTTCAGGGACTTTACATAAATCTGCACAAGATGTGTTATTTATTATCTTTTAATAAAGTGCAACTTCAAACAATGTAGAATGTTTGCAAGGACTGAATAGTGTTACTATTGGTTATTCATGTAACATTTTTCACAGTGTCTCTGTCTTGGTTTTGTGTTGTGCAGTAGGAAACATAGGTATAATTATGTTTACTTGAAGGAAAATGAAATTCTGCAGCGAATAACAGCACTGAGGAAAGAGGGTTTATGGTCTCTGAAACGTCTGCCCAAACTCCAAGAGGCCCCACGGCACAAATCACACCATGATTATCTTTTGGAAGAAATGCAGTGGATGGCAACTGATTTCGTCCAAGAAAGAAGATGGAAGATGATAACTGCCAAGAGAGTAATGTGAATTTGATATTTTCAACCAGAAAAGGGGGGGGAAGAATAGGCAGCATTTTCATGGTTAGGACGTGATCACTGAGGATGTGTGAGTTTTGGTTCGCCTCTCCACTGTGTTTGTAAAGTTTGGGCAGTACTCCTAAAGGGACTGTATTTTTTTTCTTTCTTTAGAAATATGCTTTTTAGATAGAACAGAGTAAAAACTTAAAACATTTTATGGTTTTTATTCAGCTGATTTTAAGTGTGGCTCGTCATCACGATGATATGATACTTCATAAGGAAACATGCAAGAAAAGAGAAGAGAAGCAACTGAGGGCTGTAGCTGCTTTTACTGCTAGAGAAATTGAACACTTCTGGTCCACCATCAAACAGGTAAAAAAAATAAAAATCTAAAGACGTCTTGAATAAAAACCTATTGGACCATAACAGCGAGAATCTTACAACTGAGCTTTGCTCAGCCCACGTGGTGAGTATTGTCTGTTGGTAAAGATAGCTTCATGTTGTGGTTGCACGAATAGTTTCAGGCCTTATATGTCATGAAGGAGAGTGCTTCGCTAATCCTAGTTGGTGCAGTTGGCTCACTGTGGACATTTAAGTTTTGATGTGAGTTATTCTTGGGTAGCTCTTGCTTATTATGTGGATGACTTCTATTCGTGGTCAGTTTTGTACACGCTATTTTTTTATTTGTGTGTTCTGCTTTGTAGCCATGTCTGATGCCTGTCTTACTGTTGAGGAAATGTTAAGTAATTCATAGCTATATGTGAAGCTAAATGCATTCGTGTTTTTCATTTCCTTCTGCTCTTTTTCCACCCAATCTCTCTCTGTTTCAGGTGGTAGATTTAAAACTGCGAGTGGAGTTAGAAGAGAGGAGGAAGAAAGCATTAAACTCTCAGAACATCTCAAAAAAAGGTAATAAGAACCTAGGACTTTTTTTTTTTTGCATGACTTTTTTTCTTTTGTGTACTGGTCGTAGTAGTAGTATAAGCTTACCAAAATAAATGCTTAGAAGCTAGTATTTTGGTCTTTGTTTTCAGTCATAAATATTTCCTTTCTCTAGCTCGCTCACTTCCTGTAGCTTACTAAAGCTTTGATAAATGCACTGTAAAAGCTTTTTGTTGCTGAGCTCTTGTTTGTATCACGGATTAGTTTTATGTCTCTTGGGGGCTACAGATGAGACTGAATTCACTAAAACTATCATGTGTGCATCCGTGTCCTACTGCAGTTTGCCCTTGTTTATGTAGTCAAGTTTGACAAACTTAGAAGTGTTCTTACAGCGTAGAATTCTTGTGTTCTTTAGACCTTGGATTAGTTGTAAATGGCATCAAATCTGTTAATGAATTATTAATCTCAGATATGGCAGCACCATGATTTTTATTATTTTGTGCAGAAATAAGAGACCCTTTGAATAAGAAAGGGAGCCTTCAGAAGGAAGTGGTACTTCCAGATCTCACATCTACTGTAAAGAAATACATGGCAGATTTAGCAGACATTGGTGCTGCTGCAGAAGCGTTGTTACCCAAAGGCAGTGCTCAAATCACAACAGTAGTAAAAAGCGATACTCCCTCCCTATTATGCGGCACTCTTAGAGATTATCAGAAGACTGGACTACAGTGGTTGGCAAAGCTGTATAAGATGAATCTCAATGGCATTCTGGCTGATGAAGCTGGACTTGGAAAAACAGTGCAAGTTGTTGCTTTTTTTGCACACCTGGCATGCAATGAAGGTATGAAATATTGTAGATCTTTTATTTTATAAATCTATATTTTTAACAGTTCATTAGTGAATGTGTTTTCAGTAAGGGAAGAAAAAGAATTGCTTTTAATATGTATAATTGAAAGAAATGTACCTGGAATAAATTTTATAAGAAAGGATACACAATTCCTTTCATTGTTAGTGCACATGTATGTTGTTTGTATATACACAGTTGCCTTTTCTTTTAAGTTCCGAAGTCAGATATGGTATGCAGTCATTTCCAGTCATGCTGTACCTTTTATCTCTATAGATAACTGGGGACCTATTCTTGTTGTTTCACAAGACTTAAATGTGCTGAAGTGGGAGACTGAACTGAAATGCTGGTGTCCTGCTTTGAAAATTCTTCTGTATCTTGGGAACCCAGGAGAACTTTTTTTAAAAAGACAGGTATTGTGGAACATTGTTTCATTTACACATGTACTGGGTAACATAAGCATTACACAGAAAGAAAATATCAGCCCCGGTCATGGTTATACCATTGTGGTTAAAAACTTCAGTATAGTGATATCACAACCTGGTTCTTTTCTCTTTTGTTGTGTAGCATACTGGAAGAATGAAGATATTTCTTCATCTCATGAATGCTAGTTCATAAGCAGAGTTTGATATTTACCAATAAAATCTGCTTTGATTACCAGCACTGTCTGGCTAGCCTTTTTAAGTTGTGTGTATGCACTTACTAGCATGATGTCCCTTTGCACAGATATTTTTGACTAGTACCTGATCTCTGTATGGGGAAATTCACATCTTTGCTCCAGTGACTTGTACCTCATTTTAGTATTTGCAGAAGTTTATTAAGAAAATGTGTTGAATTTAGCCATTATTTGGATGGGAAACTGATGTGTAATCCGGAAGAAGCAACAGGAAGTTTGATGTGTATTTTGTAGCTTAGAAGCCATGTGTGTGTTTTTGGGCTTCAAAACTTCACTAAACTTACTTGCAAAATATGCTGCTGATTTTTTTTTTTTTTTTCCTCCTCTGTTTTTTGCATTTTCAACTTCCATAATTACAGCGAATTTCTTGGGTTCCTCCATTAATGTTTTTACAACATGCAACTTTTATTCCTCCTTTTGGGATGATGTGTCTTTTCCAGTTACTTTTCAATTTGTTTCCTTGTTGGAGTCCTTCATATAATCTTAGATTGACTAGCAATTTTTCACTTCTCTCTTAAGTTTGTAGAATTGGGCCATGTAAATCTTGTAATAACTTTCTCTTGCCTTGTAACCTGAGCAGAGCAGGAGAAAATTAACAAAATTGTGATAGCTTTGAGCATATTCATTCCTTTAGTTCTGTGACTTTTCCTTTCATTCTTGCAATTTTAACTTTGTGTCTTGTGTTTCTAATTTCTTATTTGCCTTTGAAAGTAAATATCAGGATGTTAGTTCACACATTTAGCAGCTTCTGTGATCAAGTCTATAATAATTTTGATCCTTCCAGGTAGAATTTACCTAGAGATTGACACATATGAATCTTAAGAGATTAGAGTTTATCCATTAAGTATGAATTCTATTGATAACCTGTAACAACAAGTATAAGTATTCTGAAATGTGTTCAAACTCTTCAAGGAACAATTTCAAAATGTATAAGGGAAGATGGCTTTTCATTGCCAATTGTTTTTGGATGGAAACTTGGTCTATGTGTTTTATAGGAAAAGCTTGTTCTTTTAAACAACAGTTTCTCTTAAGGATATTTTATATAACATTTCAAACATCACAACCAGAGAGTTAAACTGAGCATTCTCTTCCCTTTGGGGATTTTGAAAGCTTTGAAGAACTGCACTGGGATAAAGTGCAAGATAATCTATTTTAATTCCAGAAGAGGAAATGCGTAATAGTCTGCTCTGAAAGCCATCAAAAAAGCCTTTAGGATTTTTGTGGTTCTTTTTTATTGCAGGAATGGACTGACCCTAACAACTTTAATGTATGTATTGCCTCCTGCAAGCAATTCTTTAATGACTATGAAGCATTCATGAAAGTACAGTGGAGGTACCTAGTTCTAGATGAGAGGCAGAATGGTAATAATCTGACACAGAAGCACTGGGATGCAATATTCAATCTCCAGAGGTCTGAAACATTCATTCAAATATTTCTTTCTGCTTTTGTCTATCAGTTACTTCCTGAAATAACTTCAGCACTTATGACTGCAGTTTCTTTAAATTTTCTTGCTGTGATGTAATTTAAGTTATGTAATAGATCTTACGTTAATTGTTATCTTCATTGTTCACAGTCATCTTCGTTTACTCTTGATGGATACGCTTCTGCCTACTGCCTTAAAAGATCTGTGGGCCATTGCCTGTTTCCTGATCCCAGGGATGTCCCAATCCTATCTGGATTTTACGAAGGTAGCATCTGCGGAGGTGAATGAAGATCATTACCAGAGAGTTGCAGTGAGACTGCAGAGAGTACGTCTCCCTTGAGGATAGTGTCTTAATACTAGTATCTTTTTCTCTGAGGAAAATTACAATTTTCCTCACTTAGGAAATTATTGTTTTGTATTCTTTTAGGTAGTGCAGTCATTCATTTTGCGGAGGTCCAAAATTCATGTTGAGAAGCAGTTACCAAGGAAATATGAGCACGTGCTTACATGTACTCTTTCTAATCGGCAGAAGTCAATGTATAAGGACATCTTGTCTCAACCAAGGTACATCTGTTGAGTAGTTCTTAATTGTTGATTCATCGTTAAAGTTAGGAACTATTTCAGTTACAATAAGAGAGCTTGTTTGCTAGTGTGTTATTTCGAAGTGAGTCATGGGCAAACGTAAAGATTAAAGCACATTGGCATAATCACAGTGCTGTGCAGGCTAATCATCTTCTACACTAAGTGGTAACTGCATTCAGCCATTTCTTCATCCTGTGTTTGTTTGTTTATATCCAGTTGTTTGACAGGGTGAAAAGAAGCATAAATAAACAGTATTTGCAGACTATGGGACAAAATATTTATAACTTAGACAATTGACCATGTGTCACAGTTTTTGTCTAAATTTAGTTCTTAAGTTATTTAGGAACTGAATGTCCTAGGCTGTATGTTACATTGCTTTTCTGATATGTCTGGTTTGTATTTTCCAGTGAATTTGATAATTTAAAGTGGTAGATATTCAGGTGTTAAAAAAAAAGCCTTAATATTGACAATATGTGTTTCAAATGGAAATGACATTGGGTAATATATGAAGTAGAGTGGTTATTTGAGAAATTCAGGTTTATGATAATGTGAGTTTTAAAATCAGAATATATTCTATAAATTATTAAAAGTTTGAATGTGAGAGAAGCTGGAGGAATGGAAGACTGCATTTTTAAACTCATACTTTTCTAAGTGTGATAACTTGGTGTTACCAGATTTATTCAGAAAAACAATTTGAGTGTGCAGAAAGACCTAAGCTCCTAAAAAGCACTGTTTTTAAAGGTAATTTAAATTATATTTTCACTTTAAATAACAGAACTCAAGAATGTCTTAGAAGTGGGCACTTTGTCAGTGTCCTCCATATTCTGATGCAGCTGCTCAGGGTGTGTAATCATCCTGATCTGATAAGTCCCCGGCTTCCAAGTTCTTCCTGTATATTAGACACGCTGGAGTTTACAACTGCTTCTCTAGTGCTGAATGCATTAGCATGGGATCTTTGGAAGGTGAGTAGGGAAGTAATTCTCTTGTGCTTGACTTGATTTGACTAGGAGAGCAGGTGGCTTAGGACATAAAATTTCTCACACATAATTCAAGTTCCAATTAAATTTCAAAATCTGAATTGCTAATTCATTTATTTTTAGAAGCAACTGCTAAGATTATAAATAATAACCATTGACTTTATAGTAGTAGTGAATTTAGTAGGTATGCTGGGAATTTGCTATCCTTGTCAAAGAAGGTCAGGCTATTTTGCAACATTTTCTGGCTGTGCTTAGAGTCCCCAGTTAACCTAAACTGATGGGTCTTGAAAGCAAGAGAAAGGTGCCATTCTTGTCCTGTCCCGAGGGGTAGTTAAGGGTGTAGTTAAGCTGTGTACAGCTCTGGAGATGAGAAGCTGTATCAGGTTCCACAGTTTAGTTGTAACTTTAGCAAACAGACTAGAGTTAAATTGCAAGCGGTTTCATCCTTTTTTTTTTTTTTCTAGTGATTGTAGCAATATTAGAGGCTTAAGGAAGACTGCACAAAGCTAGAACAGTAGCATTATTTGTCCTGGGAAATTCAAATAGTTACTCCTTTAAGTCTGTTGGAAAAATCATTTTGAGGGGCTGACAGAGTGAGTGTCAAAGGCTTGTGAAGGAAGTAGGGTTAATGTATCAAGGTGGGAGTGGATGAGTCTGGAATGCCAGTTCTACGAAGACAAATGTTTCAATTACAAGCATTGAATTAACTGGAGAGCTTGTAATTTGAGGGTGGTGTCCTGTTTTTGACTCTTGGTAACATGAGCATAATGCTCTATTTTCATGGTGTAGGTTGCTGAAACCTTTTACAGTAACGGCAGCTGCTCTCTGCAAGATCACATGACACTTGGCTCTGCCATGTTTTGGTTTAATTCTGGCATCAGCTGTGAGCTTTTTAATCATTCTCAGATAATGTGGTATTATTACTACTGGTTTTTTTTACTGCAACTAAATGGTAGTAGAAATATTCCTTTAGGTTGTTTTTGTTTTCTTTTTTGTTTGTTTTTTTTTTAAATGACTTAAGCATGCAGACTGGTCTCTCTTTGATGTGATTGGGATGGAGAACCAAATTACTTGCTACGAAGCACAAATCCTGCCAAAACTGAAGGTAACTAGGAAGCTTATTGAAGAGATCTACTGTTCTCCTTCGTCACCCAGACTTGAGCCAGTGAAGCTCAAACCAAATAGGTATGCAGTATTCCAGTGACTTATTAATTTATTTATTTATTTTAAGTAACAGGTGAAGATGAATAATGTTTGTGAGGGCTGAGAGGGTTCATTCGGAAGCATTTGGTTTTCTTGCTATCTTTTGTGTCCAAACTGATCACTGCTAAAGACTGTATGCCAGTCTTCTGAGGGAAAGCAGACTGTTTTTCACCACTTAATAGTTCTTTTCATTCATGAAGGCTCAGTTGTGATCCTTCCTGCCAAACTCTATTGGGTTGAAGTCTGTTGTAGTATTGATCAAACAGTGAAAGTGACTTCTGCAGTAGAGTTTCCTAAGCAGAATAATTAAATCTTCTCCTAGTTAATTTTAACTAAGATGTGGTTGCAAAGCACTTAAAGAAATCTTGGGGTTTTTTTTTCTGCGGGGGTGGGGAAGGGGAAGGAAAAAAGGTGTTCTGTTAAATTTTGACTTTTTTGGTTTTGTTGTTGACTCTTTTCTCTGAAGAGCAGTTGGGAGGGTTCATTTTTGTGTCTTGGAGTAAATGTAATTCTGCTGTAGAGCAATGTAGACTTCAACATTTTACAATAAATTAACCTGATAAGAGCAGAGTGTGGTTGCTGAAGCCCAAGACGGCTTGTGTAACACATGGCTGTAACAGGCGACAAGGAGGATGTCCTGCACTAGTTCTGTTAGGATGTTCTGCCAGAAGTGAGCTTTGTCAGTTAATGAAATTTAAGAATTGGAAGCGATAGCCAAAATATATATGTAAAGCAGAAAAAGGACTCATTCTTTTGCTGTTTAGACATCTTTAGCTTCCCTGAAGTAGTATATATGAAACAGTTATTGTGAAGTCAGCTTTTACAATTGCAGTATGTTTTTAAAACCAGACTGCCTGAAGATGCGTGGAAGTATAGATCCCCTGCTTTTTGTACTTAACATCGCACCTAGCCATAGTTAAGACTTTGCTCCATTAAGAAGTTTGATCCTTATTAGCATCTTTTGGGGAGTTTTCTTGCTGTCTTCAGACTCCAGAGATGATTAAGGAATATGGGAGTTCTGTCATGCTTGTACCCCTCCATGTAATCTTTCAGAGAAGACTGGAGCCTCAGAGCATTTGGTGTACTTGTGTTTTACAGTATATTTTGTTTCTTCTGCGAGTCGAGAGAAGCAGAATCCCTCCTGCTGTATGCTGTGCAGCTGGGTACCTCTTCTAGCTCAGATTACTGACTAAAATTAACTATTTGCTTTTTAACTTGATTTTTGTGTTAGGATTAACAACTTCCTCATTTATGTTTTTTGTATGTGTAGACAGACAATTTGTTAATTTTTAGGTTATTTACACCAGTGCAGTATGGACAGAAACCCGAAGGTAGGACTAGAGACTTCTCAAGGTCTCAGTTGCAGCAGACAGTGGACACAGCAATGGTTATAGCAGATCATCATGGGAAAATACAAGGACGACAACCCCTTGCCATGTTTTCAGAAAATCAGCATAGGAAAGGTGTGTTGTATATATAATAAACCATTGCTTTCTGGTTTGCTGTCTTTTTTTTAATATTGCTTGAATTTGGGGAAGAAATTAAGTTGTACTCAATGCGTTTGTGCGTTACATATTTGAATATCAAGTTCCATTAGCAGTTTTCTAACAGCAGTTCCCTCACAAAATCAAAACAAAATTTCTTACTATCTATCTGTCTCTCTTTTATAAGCAGAATGATACTATTGTGCAAACACTGGAAATTTTGCGGGCAGTTGTGTTGGTCCCCAGGTATACCATCTTAATGAAACTCTCCCCTCAGACCTGACCTGCAGTGTGTGAGACAGCTTTTCACACATGTCATTCTTAACTGACTGAGCAGATTTAGGCATCGCCACTGTCCCATTCTCTGGGTCTCTGCTGAGCCACTACTAAAGGTCATTATTAACTGGGTCTTTTTGATATGATACAGCCCTGTGGAACAGACCATTTTCAGATGATTGGGGACGTAGTGCAGTATTTCAAGCACACTCTTTTTCAGGCCTTTTCTAAATTCTCTATGTATTGATTTCAGCTGGGTACAGTATAAATTTTTGCGTGGTTGAATGGGAAGCATTCAGTATGAAGGGAGACTGAAAATTGTATCTGATAATTATTCTTTTGTGGTGTTAACTGTTCTAAGAACTTCTTTCATTGCTAAAAATGAATTGTGCAGGAAAAGATCTCTTATTCTGTGGCTGTTTTCCCCCAAGACTTTGCTTGAAATATACCTGTGCAAACTCTTGAAGCCCTTGCAAAGTTTGTGCATTGTCAAATCAAATGAGTACACCTGTGAACTACCAGTCAAACTGGATCTAGGAAATCATGCTTTTTTTAAGAGGTCTACCAGTGGTACTGAGGGGAAGAACAGTGTAGTTCTTTCATGTGTAGTTTAAGAACACACAGTATTAGGGGGAGACCTAGTCTGTTTGCAGTTAAGTGCAACTCAAGAGTTATGCCTGGAGTAAAATTGCCCTTCATTGGAAATAGGGCACACTATATGCATGGGGTAATCAGTCAAATCCTGCAGTGTACAGTGAGGAAAGTCTTCTTTTTTAAACCTTGTACCTTTTTTGTCTTATCTTAACAGCCAGCAAGATAGTACTCGGCCCGATTGTTTCCACAGCTGGAGCACAGGAGAGAATTGCTCAACCAGAGAAGCCTGTAACACTACAGTTTAGAGGGAAAACATTTACTTTGTCTTACAGTCAGTTCTGTCAGCTTATTGGTAGACAGTCTCTGAAGCATCAAGGTAAAGTAAGGTGCTACAAGATTCAATTCACATCTTTCTCTTTTTTTCTCTTTTTTTTTCTTTGTTCTTTTTAACTATTGAGAAATCAAAAATTTAGAAGCTACAATATCCTCATATTGTAATATCATGTGTCTGTGAAATTAAATTATTTTTCTTCATTAAAATATTTTTCTTGTCTTGCTGCTTTCCTGGAAAAATGAATTTATTAATGTGACAGTGGATGACTTGAGTACTAAATCTGAATTGGTGTCTACACTTTTGTGTCCAACTCAGGTACTACGCTAACTCTTTATATGATAGAGTATATACTTGATCATGAACAATGTATAGTTCACAAGATTCACATGTGCATATCTGTTCGCTGAAATAGTCAAAGCTTTAATATTTAAAGCATGTAGAATATTGTAATTGCCTAGTCTCATCCATCTGTACTAGTGGACTCTCCAATAGCAGTTTGAAAATCCCGTTATATTTTTACCAGTATGCATAAACTACGAAAGCAGATTTATTTTTCATTAAACAATCAAACCTTACATCAGTCTTTGTATCACAAATACTATTCTAATCGTCACCTTTTCTCCTGCTCATGTCTCCTTTCATAGTCATTCATAGAACTTGCATTAACTAAATTATCCTTATTTTCAACTTTCTTTTGCATAAATTTCTTTTTCATATAAGCTTTATCTGGTCAAAATACATTCAGGTAAGATTTTTGAATTAAAGGGTATCATAGAAGAAAAAAGACAACTAAAGGAACACCTGGACAAAATATATTTTGGGAATGAGCGTCGTTGTTCCAGAACCCCCCTGTATGGCAGAGACTTGTTGGAAATTTGCTCTTGGATCAGTGAAAGAAAAATGTCTCAGCATTGTTCTGCCAGGATTAACAAATGGTGCTGGGCTGGCTTTGCAAATTGCCTTCCATACTCAAGCACTTCAGAGGTTCGAAAGGATCCATTGCAAGAACTCATTCTGACATTGAAGCAGCAACAGATTGCCCTGAAGGATGTTGTTACTAGGTAATTGAGACAAATCCATTTGCAGTCTTTGCACAAATTTCACGGGTGTCTACTACCATCCAAACCAGGGTATTTATGTAAGTACTGTAAAATGCTAAAAGTGATAAATGAGTTGCCTTGTTTTATCCTTATTGCAGGCTAAATTCCTTTATGCAGAATCTATTTGCATGCCTGATGTATAATTTTAGATCATTCTAAGATTTTAAAACTCTTAATAGTTCCATGGCAATTGTTATTTGTTATATAGCAATTCTACTTTATTTTGACATATCTTGTATTTTTTGTGTGAATACTTACAAAAAAGTAGGAGTTGTAAGTCAATTTATTTTGGTAACTTTATGGATGGTGGTAATTTCCTCTTGTCTTGTTCTGATCTGGAGTGATTTTGCATTTACTTGATGTTAACATTAAACTTCATCTACTGATTTACTTTCAATTACCTTTAGCCAGGTCTTTTATGCTTCCATGCAGACATCTTCTTTATTACTGTTTTTGAGTAGTTAATAGCCCAAGCTGTTAAAAATTAGTATATTAAAGTTTTGGTTTGCTTTACAGAGACCTGTGTGTATTGCCAGCTGTAGCTGTTGCTCCTCCAGATTTGTATGTAGCAAATCCTCCTTACACATATACCCACGAAATGAAGGTCTTGAAGCTTAATCTAAAGGAACAGATACTTCCCTACCTCCATTCAATGCAGCATATAGCAAGGCCTCATTTTCTACAGTTTCCAAATCCCCGACTGGTGCAGCATGATTCAGGTATTAAAGAAAACACCACCTATTATAACTGTGCAAATGTGCTTTCTCTTAATTGTTGAATGCTACCTGCAGAACCTTCACGTTCTTATTTCATAAACAGGCAAGATGGAAGCTCTGGCTGTCTTGCTTCGGAAGCTGAAAGCAAGAGGACATCGTGTGTTGATTTTGACACAGATGATTCCAATGCTTGATATACTGGAGCTTTTCTTGAACTTCCATTTTCTCACGTACATAAGAGTTAATGAGAGCGGTGCTCACAGTTGGCATTATCTGGTAAAAGGACCTCTTACTCAAGCTAATAGTTAATAGATGCTCATACTGGGAGGGAAAATGCTAAAGGGAAGTCCAATACATTTGCAAAATTCATTTGCATAATTTCATTAGTTATTTAAGCAAATTATCTATGTAGCTGTAGCACAAAATATGTAATTATATATGAAATATGTCAGTCATATTACTGTTTGATGAGGCATCAGGGTGTTTCCAAGAGGTATGCCACTAGCTGTCCTACATTTATGAGTAATTTGTGCTTGAAATACAGACATTTTATTTCACAATAGCGTTTTGATAATTGCTTTTCCTTTCATTATCTGTAGCTATCTACATTGTTAGTACTTTAAGTGTAGTTGCTGTTTTTATGTTGGCACTTCCTCAGCCTTACTCCAGGGGCTTTTGTTTTTTGTCGAGTGCCCTGGCATTGCCTGAGGATAAATTGAAAGTGTGCTCATTTCCCTCCCCAGTAAGATTCTCAGTATCCTCTGGGGCCTACAATTTGAGCAAACATTAACAATATAGTTAAGTTATTATTTTCTTATTTTTTATTTCAAATTGCATTGTTATGCTTTCTGTCAAATGCAGTATAAATCATGAAGGAATACTTTGCCTTAAAGCAGCACAATAGAAGGGATTCAATTTAGTCAACAGACAAGAAAAATGATGAAACACACAGAGAATGTAATAACCCAGTGAGGTGTGCTTAGTCATAGGATACAATGTGACTACTGTAATAGATCTTTAGATTTTTATCTGGTTGACTGCACCATAACTTAATAGTTTTAATGGTACACAAATTAATTTTGAGTTGTATAGATCTGTAATGTGGACAGTCAGATAACTTTAAATGTTTGCATGCTTAATGTAGGTTGGGGAATTAATAAGAAAGCAATTTTTCTGATCTCATTCTGTAAAAAAGTTTGTTTAGATATTTATGCTTTATTAATGTGAATTTGTAATTAAGTTGCTTGTCTCCCCATTTTAGGAATCCATAAAAAACTTCAACCAAGACAAGCGATTCTTCTGTGCTATTCTTTCTTCCCACACTCCTTCCACAGGTGTCAGCCATGTAAATGCGAATGCTGTTGTCTTCTATGACACTGATTTAGATCCACTGATGGATACGAAGGCTAAAGAATGGTGTGATAAACTTGCAAGAGACAGAGATACTCACATATACAGGTGACTTTTATGCTAAGAAATAGTATAGGTGTTTTAAAGTCAAGAATAGAGGGAAGATGTTTTAAGGTGAAACTAGGATTTTTTGGTTGAGGTCATCCTTTTAGTTTAAGTCATTTGGTCTTTTAAGATCCCCTTAAAGATTGGATCAGTCATACATACTTCTTCCCTTCAGACTAAAGAGAAAATGAAAACCCTGTCCTTCCCCTGACTGCATCTTCTATTCCTGTCTTTCACTCCCACTTTCATCTTGTAAGCCATCTGGATTTCTATGTTGGGACAGTCAAAATGAACATTAATATCTGTGGGTGTTTTCTGCTCTTGATAAACAATGAATGTCTTTCTTGATGGTCTATCATTGGATTTCAAATCCATTAGTGATGAGATACTGATGTTCATGTAGTTCTAAGATGTATTTGAAAGCTTCTCTCAAGTGACTGTTTCTTTTCCTGGAAGGACATGCTGAGAGCAGAGGGGAGCTCTTGCTCACCTTACACCACTAGCCAGGTATGCATGGGTGTGCAGTGCAGATACTTTTAGTGAATACCCTGCTATTGTAAGGATTTTTGTAAAAATCCAGTTGTATAGAAGACAATACTGCTTATTGTGCATTTCAAAAATAAGAACTTAAAAGAACCCAGTGTTTTGAGAATACGAAATCAGATCTAAAAAGAAAGCTTTCCTCAAAGAAACTACATAACGAATACAGAATTTCCTATGAAAATATCTGACAGAATCTAAACGAGTGTTGGTGCTCACTGCCGTAGGCGAGGAACATTAGACATGAAACAGTTGAGTTTCAGAAAGCGTCACTGTTTTCTAGGGAACGGTATTTAATGAGTTTCTTTGTTTTGCAGGCTTATAAGTGGTAATTCTGTCGAAGAGAGCCTGTTGAAAAAAGGTATTAAACATTTGATTCAAGAAGTGGCTGCTCAGGGAGATGATTGTTCAACAGACTTATTAACTCAGGTACTGTAACATTAAGAATGTGAGCAGTTATTTAATGATATGTAAATAATGAGTGTTTTACTAGATCAGAGTCAGAATTTTGAACATCATTTAGTTTTATATTTATTTCCAGACTTGTTTGGGGGCTAGCAGTATGTGATCACAGTTAAAATCAGTAAAAATCCTGAATTGTTAGCTCACATAGAAAATCAGAAGATAAAAATATCTAGAAAGAAAACTGTGTTTGTTCCAATGGTAATTTTACACTATTTTTGACATTGTTTTAATCAAACAAAAACGACTTCTGCAGCAAAAGATATCAAATGTGTCTGTAACCTGACTTTTCTAAACTCAGTTTTAGGGTGATTAAAAAACTTTAGACATCATACATTGTCTTATCAATTACTTGAAAACATGTTTCCATAAGGTTCTTTGCTCTGAATATGCAAAAGAGGATTCCAGAAAGTTTACAGAAGAGTCACTGTCTGAGATAAGAAATGATATAGACTCAGAGTTGTGTGATTCAAGAGATACCATGGTTCCTTCACAGTTAGAACAGCTGGCTAGCTTTGTGGATCAGGTATGATGATTTCTCTTGTTTTACGTAAACCTTTAGAAATATTTGAAATTTACTTTCCTGTGCAACGATCAAGTGGCTTTCATAAAGTATCTTATTTCCACTCCATTTACATGAAACAGTTCTGTGCAAATTTAAATACTGCAGCAATCCTGGGAGAAAATCTGAGCTTATTGATAGATCTGTTCACGTACTGAAACATTTAAGTCATCAAACGTTCTCCTGAGGGTTGTGAAGTGCAGTGGACTAAATTGTATCTTGTGATATAAGACTGTTTTACAGTCTTGTGCTTTGCCAGATACTTGTATTTTTTCTTAAAGGCCTTGGATCTGTTTCTTCTTAACCATGAAATGACTATTCTTAGCATTCCCTAAGTTCTGTCATATTCTGATTGTCTCCTTTTCCCTCTGGCTACTTTTGCAAAACCCAAGTAGCAGCCTGCTTACTAACAACCAGTCAAAAGTATGCATAATAACTTGGATGGGATTCTCTTTTTTTTTAATCCGGTTAGCAAAATGGAAGCCAATAGTTGGAGCCTATTCTCAGTGATACTGGTGGGATGTGAGCAGACTAGCTAGCGACCAGAATGTCAGATTTTTGGTCCTTAGATCTCTTTTCTACCTTAATTATGGTGCCGTTATTTGCAAGCAAAATAAATACGTTTATTTGTTGGGGTGTTTTTCTGCTTGTTTTTAAATCACTGGTTATTTTCATGTTTCTAATTCAAAAGCTAAATAATTAGCAATGTGTCAAAATGTTTTTCTGAACAGCTTAAGCCAATTGAAAAGTATGCGTTGAATTTCTTGGAATTGTTTCATACTTTGAATGATCAAAAAAGCCAGACAGTCAACAAGGTAAGCGACTATATTTCATTTTCTGAGTAATTAATAAAAACAAAATAGAAAACCCCAACTATTGTCAGATTTTATTTTTTGTTTGTTTATTTGGGGTTTTTTTGTTTGTTTATTGGGGTTTTTTGTTCGTTTATGAGCACTGAAATTTTGCTCAAAATGATCGTGGTCTAAAAACACACTGGTTCCTAATTAACATGTAGACATATTTCCCTTTCTTTTTACTGGTATGAGGGCCTTATCCAAGAATGAAAAGTCAGTTTAACTAACTTTGCTGTCACTGTTAGCCTATAAAAGGTGAGACTCAAATCAGTGGCAATTTACTGCTGTTAGCGTATTTATTGTGAAAAGTGGTAATATTTTAAAGTGTACAAATTTTTTTCGTAAAAGGAGTTAAAAACTGCAAATATAAAATGGGAATATCGGCATCCCAGGGAGCTGGAAAAGGCAGAAGAAAAATTTCAGCAGGAAGTGGAACTCTTAACCTATACCAGACAAGATGCTTATAACACGGTAACATCAAGGGATTGCCAAGTCCCTGCTTTTCGAAGAATTTGTATATTATGGCTATGAACCATGTATTTAAGTATGTGTGTTGGGTTCATGTTGCACTAGTCTTGTGGCCTTGCAGAACTGTTGTACTCTTGAAACTGAAGCTGTCACTCTGTAGATGGTTTTAATTCTGTAGAGTAGCAGGTTGCTGTTTTGGCAGAACTGTGGATTGGTAGGTTGTCTTGGAATGGACACACACAGTTATGTTTCAAGGTAATAACAACTGAAGGAAGAGCTTGAGAAGAATATTGAAAATTAAGAATAATTCCTTAAAATACTTTTTTTCTACTGTAATTTTAAAATTATAGTTACTGCAAACAAGTTTATGCTGGGTTCTGGACTGGATGATGTATTGAGGTATCAAAAATTCTTTGCTTCTCATACAGGAATTTGTCTGTGAAGGACCAGATGGAGAAGTAGAAGTAATGCCTGTAAGTCAGTAGCTCTTGCTTCATCTGAAGGAAACCTTAACTAAAATACTTTAATTAATGGCAAACTATGGGTTGTGGGTTTTCTTTGTTGTTGCTGTTGCTGATTTTTTTGTTTTGGTTTGGGTTTTTTTGTAGCTTTGGACTCCCCCTGTTGTACCTGAGAATCACAATGATGTCTACACTGATTCTGTTATGTGTCTGATGTATACTAGTACTCCGATTCCAGAGTCTAAGCTTCCACCTCTGTTTGTTAGGAAGGCATGTAAGCGGCAGAGGACGGATCTGTTATGTAAGTTGGATTCAAAATTCCATGGGAAGGTGTGGTAACATTTTTGTGTGAAACAATATGAAAACTCTTTTGCAAGAACACCTCTAAGTTTGTGTTCAAAAATTTAGGCATGCATGTACCATTATCTCTGTTAAGATTGATATCACTCAGACAAAATGATTGAACGTAGAGTGCAAGCAGAGGGACTGCACTGTGAAAACTTGCTATTGTCCTTACAAATTAGAAATAGAAATACGAGTGAATTAAATGAGCAGGAGTAAAGCAATGAGACTCCTGTTCATCCATTTGATCTGTTTTTAAGCCTATTTTCCTAGTGAAGTGAGAAGCTATTTAAAAATGACCGATCAAGTCAAATACTGTACTAGAGGACCATAGGTTGAAAGTACCTGCATTCAGAAAAGTACTGCAAAAGACTTATCATTAGTCAGATGATTTGCAGCAGTCAGTTTTCTGTCATGATCTTGTTGCACATAGTTCATTTCTCACTGGAGATAACAACTGTGTCCTGCCAATTAGCTTCAGGTGAGAGTAAGAAACATTGCTGTAGAAGGATGGTTGCTCCTCCACCTTCACTTTTTGATCAAGTGACTCCAAGAATATTGAACACACGACAGAAGAGCAAAGCTCAGAAGACCCTCCTCTGGGTAAAACAGAAAATGTATTTTGCAAGACCTTTGTCAGCTCTCATCAATGCAGCTGCTGACACTAGGCAAGATAGCCCTGCATGGCTAATTGCTGAAGACTTGGCACTGTTAAAAGTAAGATGGTACTTTGGTTTTATTGACTTCAAAAACTTTTTACATGGAAGTTTGTTACAGCATCCATAGACCTTGATTAATACAGCATGATACATGCTTGTGCACACAAGAAAAGCATTTAATTGAAACATTACACTGGTTTGATTTCTCTCTGCCTCCTAGGCGATGAAACAGTTACGGACACTTCCTTTAAACCTTGCTATGGCGTCACCTGCACAGACAGCAAACTGGGACTTTGTCAGCGATGTCGTTAACTCTTGTAGCTATGTTTATCGCTCCCCAAAGCAATGCCAAAATCATTACATAAAATCATTTGCACGTCCTGAAGGAGAGGTGAGTTTATGTTGAAATGTGCATTATATTGTGAAGGCTTGGGTTTTTTGTTTTGTTTTGTTTTTTTAATTCTTCATTGCTGTTTGTGGACTACACGAATGTTTAGTTAGCAGAATAATAACTGTATTTTAGAATTTTGAGTAGCTTGGTATACAAGCAAATGCTAATAAATAACTTCCCCTGTCAGTATGACTACTATAGTTTATACTTACTACAGTTTCCATACACTTAAGAATATGAATTTCCCCAGTGCTGTGACAATGATAGCACCTTGGATGTATCACTTTGCACTATCACTATATTAAAACTAAGGAAGGGGAGTTATTTATTTTAACTTTTATTTAAGTGGCAGGATATGAATTGTCTTCAGTCAAGACTACTGTAAACTATGATTTTTGAGCCAGGGCACTTATGACTATGTATTTTTGGTACCTAAGCCTTCAATTTCTATTTATTCCAGAATACAGGTGGTTATCCTCTTCGTGTTAGACAAGCTTATGCTAAAGACAAGAATTCTGAGCGTTCTCAAATCTATATGAATCACTTTGAGTTGATGACAATGACTACTAGAAAGAGAAGTTCCTCAAATAGGTTTCTGTAAGTTTATTCCTACTGTCAATGATAATTTTTCCCAGATTTAACATTTAATCGGTTTGGTGGCCTGATTAGTGATTTTTTTTTTTCTTTTCTCTTAAGGAGAAATGTATTTCACAGGGGCGTTTCTCTTGTCAGAAGCGCTGTGATGACCTTCAGCCTTAACTTAAAGTAGTGCATTTATTGTCAAAGAATCAAACCTGTGCTTGTGCTGATGTAAAGAAAAGCTTGAAGTGCTTCAGAATTGCTCCCTGTGATGTATCAGGAGGGTCAGGCCAGGCTTTCAACTCTTTTCTCAGGTCTGATAATATAGCTGTCATATTTCTAGGTAAAGAACTGGCTGGAGTTCCCTGCTAATCCCCAGCTTTTTCAGATCTTAATTGCAGATTCCTCTTCCAGAATTTTAAAATTCTTTGTGTTAAAATATCATGAATATGGAAATAGTTGCACAAAATTCAGTTAGCTTAAGCTACTTCATTTGCTTTCAGTGCAGAGAACTATGACAAGCTACTACCTATGTCTGAGGTTGTTTCCATCTGTGCAGAGCCTATGACGATGCAGGAAAAGGTCTGTTCAGTTTTTCCAGGTCAATTCCACTCTGTACGTTCTTTTCAATAGCTTTTCAATCCTTCTCATTTTCAGATCTTTTCAATTAATTTCTCACGTAAAAACAATTGCAAAGGCTGGGAATAAGGAAAAATAACACGAGCTTTCAGAAGACTGAAAATTGTTCATTATGAGTTTTGACTGCCTAATCCCCTTTCAGTGCATCAGCTGTCTGTTCCAGATCTGTTCCTTTACACTTCTGTGGTTGTCTCATTTTTTTGGTATTTTAGCAATGTCTGAAGCAGGCAGCCCTGATATATAATAATTTTTTGTCAAGTCAGAATTTTCTGTTGCAATTATTGGTATAGACAATTAGGAATTCATTTCAGGATAAATCTTTACCTGACTTCATGGTAACAGTCATAGTTTTTATCTACTCAGAATTAAAATAATTAAAAAGAAGCCTATCACTGTGATCCCCACCTTCCATCTGTTTCTGTCGTCACAGGCATTAACTGAAGAACAAATAGCTCCACAACTGCAGGAGCAACAGCCGAGTCAGAAACAAGAAGAGGAACAAACAATGGAGCAAACCCAAACCCGTTGTCAACCACAGCGGGAAACACAGGTGAGAAACAAAAACATGATTGCTGTGTGGTATGTGAATTCATTTCACTCCTGCAGCTGTAGGCAGAGAAATATGTTCCTCCCAGCTGAATGAATCTGTTAGTCCAGATTCATGTGCACTTAGGGCATCTGTCTTGACTTTGCTGAGGCTGTGTGTAGGACTCTCAGCAAATCTGGAGAATTGGGACATTGAGTAGCAGGAACATCTCATTTTAGCTGAGCTGAGGTGATGGACTTAAGTGCTACTTAAAAAATACAGTCTTGTTGTTCAAGGGTATCAGAATACTATTCAAAGAATAATTATAGACAAGCTCTTTCTTAAAGATAAAGGATTTTGGCTTTCATCCCAGAGTGGATTTTACGATGCTGAAAAAGGCATTCCATATTGTTGTAGTTTAACCCCAGCCGGCAACTATGCACCACGTAGCCGCTTGCTCACTTCCCCCCCCACCCAGTGGGATGGGGGAGAGAATTGGGGAAAAAAAGAAAAACTTGAGGGTTGAGGTAAACACAGTTTAATAGGACAGAAAGGAAGAAACTAATAATGATAATAATAACAATAATAAAATGACAATAATAATAAAAGGATTGGAATATGCAAAACAAGTGATGCACAATGCAATTGCTCACACTCGCTGACCAATGCCCAGTTAGTTCCCAAGCAGCACTCCCCCCCCGACCAGCTCCCCTCAGTTTATATACTGGGCATGACATCCCATGGTATGGAATACCCCTGTGGCCAGTTTGGGTCAGGTGTCCTGGCTGTGTCCCCTCCCAACTTCTTGTGCTCCTCCAGCCTTCTTGCTGGTGGGGCATGAGAAGCTGAAAAATCCTTGACTTAGTATAAACACTACTTAGCAACAACTGAAAACATCAATGTGTTCTCAACATTCTTCTCATACTGAATCCAAAACATAACACTATACCAGCTGCTAGAAAGAAAATTACCTCTATCCCAGCTGAAACCAGGACACGTGTATAGACTGGAACAAATGTAATTTTATGGTACAAATGTAGTTGTAGTTCTTCAATATATTTACCTCCCTCATCGGAAGAATTTCTTAAAACTTCACACCCTCTTTTGTGATCAGTTTAGAACACTTCTAAATGTTAAAAATACAGTATATTTCATGACACTTTCAGGCTTTGGGACGTACACTCTCTGCAGTCGTAGCTGCGTTACAGCAAGTGTCTGTGGTACCTGCCATTCCAGCACAGCTGCAGCCCTCAACCCCCAGCCAGTTTTTTCAAGCAGAAGCATTTGACAGCATCAGTTGTAACCATCACTCTGATGGCAACTGTGCAGATGGCTTTTGATGACTCCGCTTGTATCAGGTAACCTTTTATTTTCAGTTCACATTTTGCTGTTGAAAATAAATTGCTCACTTTAAAATTCATTGATGATAAGTGAAAAGGATGGAATAGTCTTTCAGTAAGTCCTCCACTCTTTAGAAAATAGCGTATCTCCAGATGCTGTATTATTTAAGTGTAATTAATTTCAATTACATAGAATTTTAAACACTGTTATCTTTGTATACTGTCACTTATTTTTCCGTTTTCTCTCAGACTGTTTTCTCTCTATACTTTGAGCTAGTAACCACTATTTGTCTAAAATTTCATTTTAGATTTAGTCGCAAGAAGTTCAGGACCCAAGTCCTGATCCTCGGCCCACAGTGACTTCTTTGCCACAGACAAAATGAATAGAGGAGTTACCCTGATGGCAGACTGCAGGTGTTGGTGAACCTCTGGAAAGCAAAGCTTACGTACAGCCTGGAGTCGGTGTACGTGACGCCTTCGGTAGCGGATGCTGAAAGCAGTGAACCGCCTGCTTTGTAAACGAGAACTGAATGTCGTTATCGGGCAGGTGGAAGTTGTATTTCCTTTATTGCCAAGCCCTTCCCCATTTTTTTTTGGCGGTATGTTACTGTAGTCCAGAGTAGCGCTAGGTTACTTTTTTCCCTCCCTCCCCGTCCTCCGAGGACCGTGGTGCCGGTGCTCCAGGTAAGCGCTCTACGGTTCCTCCTGCCCGTAGGCACCTTTTCTTTGTGGATTTCTACGCCAAACCTTGCAGAACAGGGTCAGCACGGTTACCGGCCCAGGCAGCACGGACTCCTCGCCCGGCCGGCACGACAATAAAAGTTACTTTTCCGTCCTGTCCCCGCGTCTCCTTCCCGCGTTCCCGCCCGGGGCAGCGCTCCCTCTCCCGCCGTCCACCCAGGGCGCGGGGGCCGCCCCCCTCCCTCCCTCCTTCCTCCC